CGTTCAGTAAAGAAGACATTCAATAGTCAACAAATTATTTCATGAATGTCCATTACCTGTTTGATAAAATGTTTGAAAAAATTCCACTTTTGGTCCCGTGACTATTATACCACTTCCACATTTAGTCTCTTACTTTCAGATTGTCCACATTTAGTCCGTGACCATTATCCCCTCACCATCTCTCGTCCTTCCGACAAAATTTCGGGAAATTTAATGCAGATTTTAGGTATGAAAAACCAAATTTAATGCAAAGACTGATATGAAAAACCCAACCTTATATAAAATTTAATGCAAAGACTGATTCTGAGGCTGATAAGTGGACTAAATTTTCCGGAATTTTGGCTCAAAGGATGAGGGGTGGTGAGGGGATAATGGTCACGGACTAAATGTGGACAATCTGAAAGTAAGGGACTAAATGTGGAAGTGGTATAATAGTCATGGGACCAAAAGTGGAATTTTTTCAAAATGTTTTAACCATTGTTTAGGATGTAGAACTTAGTAGTACATGTACAATGATCTCTTGGATTTCAAACACACTTAAACCTTGAACAAAAATCCACACATTCACTTAGGGTGTGATTGGGAGTTTGATGGTAGGGGGAAGGGGAAGGCTTTGAAGGGGAGTTGAGAGAAGGGAAGGGGAGGGAGATGGGAAGGGATTCTCTCCTCTTATTTGGGAGTTGCCAATTTCAAAAGTGGAAAATTTTGGGACATGAGGGGTTTCAGCGGTGGAGAAATGTGGGGGGAAGGTGAAGGCTTTGAAGGGGAGTAGAGACCAGGGAATTGGAGGGAGATGGGAAGGAATTCCCTCCTCTTGTTTGGGAGTTATGAATTTCAAAAGTGGAGGGTTTTGTGAGATGAGGAGTTTCAGCGGCGGAGAAATGGAGCAAGTAGCAGCTCATAAAAATTTTATGCAGAAACTGTATTAGTTTTAGAGGATAAATATGTCATTTGCGTAGGTAGACCTTAGAAAACCCTCAAATCGGGGGAATCAGAAAACCCAGATTTCGGAGGGTTTAGAAGGATTTTATAACACCCCCAAAACCTTTCCCTCATATTATTTGAACTCCCAAACACAAATAGAAGGGTTTATTTTCCTCATATGCTTTCCCCTCCCTCCAGAAACCAACTCCCAAACACACCCTTACAACCCTAAAATGTTTCACCTTCGTTTTTGTCGTGCATTTCCTCAAATTTTTCATGTTGTTATTTTAGTATGAGAATTGAGAAATTTTTTAGCGTCAATTTGATTGTTTTCTTGCATAATAGCATTCACATTTTTTGAGAAAAATGTTAACCAAACATTAATAGGGTGTGTGATATATATTTAAGGTTGTTGTCATTCATCTCATTTCACCACAAAGGGAATTAAACTATTTTACTCTTTTATAATTAAGAAAATTCAATTAAAATTTCACAAATTCCAACAAATTCAATCAACCCAGTCAACCTCAGTATTATAAAAAGAACTCGTCATGTTTTTTTCTCCTCCTAAATATGAAAAAAGATCAATTTCATCGGTACTTTCCAGTTATTTTATGTGATTTCTTCCTAGCGATGTCTAGGGTTTGTGTATTCCTCATCGGTAGAATCAATTTGAGTGTTGGAATTTTATTGTTGGTGATTGGCAATGCTAGTCCTGCTTGGTATTTTTGGGAGATTAACTTCAAATGTTGGCGATTGCGGGGCAATTATTCTTCCTCATCCTGAACCATCGTCATTCTATGAGAGAAAGATAGCACTCAATGGGATCTTCTTTTCGGTGGTTTGTCAAATCGATGATATTGGTAATTTCTTTCCAGTAGATGGTCAAATTGAGGATTATAGCTATTTCTTTCTGGTGGCTAAACAAACAAAATTTTCAATTATTTCCTTCTTGATGGATGGGGAAACCAATTTATTTGAATATTTTCTAACGCATAATAGTTTTAGTATTATTCTTAGTTTTGATTCTTGGTTTAGTAGCAGGCCGGAGCTTCTATGTTGGTAGAGGAGTCTACGTCTTTGTGGGGTTAGTGAATTGTAATGTTCATTTAGAACTTTTCAATTTTATGTCTCATCTCATTGTAGTCTTAGGCTATCTGAATTGCTTTGTCCTGATCATTTTTATTATTAATAAATAAGTCTCTTTCACTCAAAAAATTGAACTCATAGTCTTGAGAGGAGTATTGCTTGACATGAATGATGCATATTATTGTTTTACTCCAGACAAGTATGTCTAGAAATTAAATGGGCATGTTGTAAAATTCTACCAGGTCCCGGTTTGGGACAACCACCATCTAGAGAAATGGTTCTATATAGGAATAAAAGTTAGTTCATATACTCAAATAAGAGTTAAGTAATTTTAATACTTAAATAGGGTTATATTTTTGCTTGTGTGTTCCAGAGTTAAGTGATTGTCAAAAGGTAGCAAAAATCGCAAATTATACTGTGGGATCGGCCCACCTTCCGCATGGTGTGCCGATCCCAAACGGTGTCGTTTTTGTTTAGTTTAGGTTCGTTATTCATTATTCTCTGGCCGCTTCTATTCGTTATTCTCTGGCTGTTGCTACTCTGCTTCTATTCGTTTTCGTCCTTCTCTTCCTTTTCTCTTCGTTCTTTTCGTTCTCTTGCTTCTTGTCTACGATTACGATTTCAATGGAGTTTTCTTGTGGTGATTCAGTTATTTTGAATTCAAATATTGAATTCGGCGATGTTGTTCCGTGTAATATACAGGATAGTTGCGTGATTGATTCATCCGACGGAACTAATATTGATGGTGATCAAGTTGTTGATGTTGAATTGATCAGTGATCGTTAATGTTTTATGTTCGTTCTGCGTTTTATACTTTTTTTTTGTGTTTTGTACTTTTGTTCTCTGTTTTATAATTTTTGGCATTGTTTGAGAATTTGTATTTTTCTATTGATATTTTCTGAGTTTTTTATTCAGGAGAAGAAGATACTACTGCAAGCGCTTCTAAATTGCTATATCTGCTCAGTAGAGGTGCACTTTTCATTGTGAAGCTTCGTGTAACTTTTGGTTATGTGTTGTGTAACTACGGTGAAAGTTTATGTAATATGCATTCGTAGATATGTAACTCGTGGTAGTTCTTTTACTTTGGACTTTGGTTAAACTTTGGTTATGTGTTTTTGTACCTGTCGTTAACTATTATGTTATATGAGGTCATGGATATGTAACTTTGGTTGATTAAAGTGTTTTACTTGTTGTTTGTTTTCATATGTCTTGTTGTTATAATTTCAGATACATCAGATACTGTTAACAAGTCAATTGAGAGCAAATCACTTATTGGATTGATTGTCAAGTCTGAACTGGAAGCTTACACTCTTTATAACAATCATGCTTTTGAAAAAGGATTTGGCATTCGAAGATACAAATAGAGATTTAGGAGTGGGAATTTGAGTTTGTCTATGAAATCTTACTGTTGTTGGAAAGAAGGGAAGAAACTACAAAAGGGAACAGAAAACAAAGCATATACCAAATTAGATTACCGTTCAGATTGTAAAGCAAAGTTGCAGTTTTCCATTAGCAGTGATGGTGAATGGTCTGTTTCTAAGCATATCATTGATCATAACCATCCTTTTTGTCCAATTGGTCAGAGACACCTCCTGAAATCACACCGTGCTAGTGATGAAGAGTATCTAGAATTTATTATGCTGATGAAGGAAAGTGGGACAAAGGTTTCTGATATTCATTGTATGCTTCAAAAACAGGCATGTGGTGTTAGGACTCTTGGGTTCACGAAGCGTGATGCTTATCACAGACTAAAATCTGAAAGGCGTAGAACATTTGATGGTTCTGATTCGAATAGTTTGATTTGGTATATTCAAGAAAAGGGCTGATTCTGAATCTGACTTTTTTTTTATTTTGATCTGGAAGATGGTACACTGTGGTCCTTTTTTTAGGGACGGACAAATGAAATCTGATTATGAGCGATTTGAAGATCTAGTTGTGCATGATACAACGCACAAGACTAACAAATATGATATGATATGTGCTCCTTTTGTTGGTATGAATCACCATTGCAAAAATATTATGTTTGGTTGTGGGTTTATTCTTAATGAAACGGTGGAGTCCTTTATTTGGCTATTTCAAACATTTCTGAAATCTATGGGAGGTAAACATCCCATCACTTTCATGACAGACCAGTCTTTTTCGATGTCAGCTGCTATAAAATCTGTTTTCCCTACTTCAAGATATAGACTGTGCACTTGGCATATTGATGAGAATTCAAAGAAACATATCATGTTTCTAAGAAAGAAGTTGAATTTTGTACCTTTGTTTGATCATGTTGTGAAACGATGCGACACCATTGCGGAGTTTGATTTCTACTGGACTGAGTAAGTTGTTTATGCTTATGTAGATTCTTTGTTAACTTGTGTAACTTGTGTTATTGTTATATGTAACTGGTCTTTGTTTTTCCATTACATGTCAGATTGAACAAACTTTATGACTACAATGACAACGATTGGTTGAAAAGGTTGTACAGACATAAAGAGAAGTGGTGCTCTGCCTTTTCAAAGGATTATTTTTCTGGTGGCATATTATCTTCACAAAGGAGTGAATCTACAAATAGATCAATATCAAGAAGACTTTCAAAAACAGCAACATTGTGTGATTTTAATCGGATGTTTTGTGATGTGGTTGATGAGTGGTGGTCATAGGAAAATGGTCTTGATTTCAGATGTTTGGAAGGTACTGTTGAGATGGTACTTCTGCAGGACAATGTTTTGTCTCATGCCAGGGATGTATATACGGTTGAGATATTCAAACTTTTCCAGGAACAATATTTGAAGGGTATGTCACATTTTCATCAGTTTTTGAATCAGAGTTCTCATGATCGTATTTATCATGTTTGGTTGAATGATATTGATATGATTAGACACACTGTTACTTTTAATGAGCATGACCACACAGTGACTTATACTTGTAAGATGTTTTCGGAAATTGGTATTTTGTGTAGACACATTTTGCGAATATATAACATCCATTGTGTGAAATGTATTCCCAAGCTTATATAATGCCTAGATGGACAAAGGCTGCTATTTTGCCAACAATCAGCTCTTTTCTTACACAAGCTACAAATACTATGGTTGGTAAAGTATTGGAAGATTCTGTTTGGAGAGTCCAAATGACTAGGAAGTTCAACACAGTATTGGCTGGAAGTGCTGGTATACCAGAAGCTAGGGTATTATGTGAACAAGGTAATGACTCTATCAGAAACTTCTTAGACATTCAAAAATGCGTTTCTGTCGGAGATGAAACTGCTTCAGAACCAAGGAGCATTTTGGATCCTCCACGCTCTCGTCCTAAAGGTCAGCGAAATACACGAAAGAAAAGCACTGTTGAAAAATAGTGTAAAATAGTCAAAGCTCGCAGGTCCAAATCCCAAAATGTTGCCAGTAATTCTACAGTAGTTGCCCAATCTGTTGTATAGGTAAATTTGCTATTTCTTTTAAGTTTTTTATATATAATATATGTTTTCTCATACTGGTGTTCTTCTCTTATTTTAATTTCAGGATACTGTTAATTTGATGGTTCCACATGGCTATCTTGCTCATCCAGTTGGGGGAATGACTTCTTTGATGCCATTTGTGGATCTCCACAAGTTTTCGCGCCGTACTTTGTGCAATCAAATGTTGTGAATCAACAACACATTTAGTTGAAGTAGTTTTTATATTTTTTCATTTTGTTGAGAAATGTTCCCAAGTTATTTTCTGTTTAAGCCATGAGGCAATGTGATTGAACACTGTTGTGTTTGTTTCTATAAGTTACATTTGGTTTGTAAATAATGAGTCAAATTATGTATCTCGTGAACAAGAAGATGTAACTCGCACATAAATATGTGTAAACAATGATAACAAGGAGCCCAAACTAAATACTTATAAGTTTACATAAATAGTGAATATACTTTGTTTTTTATATTTGAGGCCATATTTTTTCCCAAAAAAATATTTTATTTTTGTAACTCACTCATAACAAGATGTAACTTATGTACAAAAAGATGTAATTTCATTATTATCAAATGTAAGTCTACTAATTGTACCTCTTTTTTCACCCAGTAACATCTTTTATCAACATGAGATACATCATGTTTAGCCTATAGTTACATTATTTACTCCAACTGTTGCAATCCAAAACTACATAAATTTGGTATGAAAGACAAAATACCATTTATAAGAAGTTGTTGATCAGTTTACATCACATAATATGTTTTCATAATAGACTTCAATGATAAACTAGTAAGGACTAATAAACTTCAATAGATGTTTTCATACCATCACCCATCACCCATCCCCTCACATAAAACCACCAAATGTTTACAAATTCCTCCATAGAAGTACTTCATATCAACAACAACACTTTACATTTTGATGAATTTTTGTGCATTTTCAATAACATTTCTCCCTTCTGAGTTGAATTTTGACAATAGGAACTCTGTTGCATACATAACTCTGAGCTTTTGCAGAATTTCATTTTGTGCTTTGACTTCATCATCTGTAGTAGCACTGGGAAAACCAGAATCCCAATTGTCTCCCAGACCTCGATATGTTTCCAGATGGCGCATTACAAATATGCCACAGTCGACATGGTTACCATTGTATCTCCATGGCATAGTCAGCACTCTTGGGTTCCACTTTGACATATTTCCAGCATTGTGTCTGATTTTCTTGCAATATGAAGTAAAGCCTTCCACCTATTTCAAAAGATACATTAACAGACTAAAAAACACATTACTGACATTACAACATAAACAGGTATTTACCATTTGTTTAAAACTCTCTCCATATTTGTCTTCAAATTGGACTCCTTCTTCAAGGATCCTGTTGTCTATGACATCAACTATGTTTTTTTGTCAAATAGAAGCAGTACACATAGTAATGTTCATGTTTTTGAATTGGAAACAAGACCTGCAATTCACAAAAGCATTCGTGTGTTTATTATTTGTTCTTCAATGATTTTTTGTGAGTAATAATGACATTTTACCATATCAAAGGTTCTGAGGTTCCCTCCATCTTCCTTGATTTCAGCTTCAAACCTTTCTACCATTTTTTCTTTTGGGTCACTATACCCGAGCAGGAACTGTGCCTGCATTTTCACATTTATTTAAACACATGAGATTTTTCTTTTCTTATTTTATTTTATGAAATTTCTAGAAATATTATACATACATAGACCATGGTAGAACACATGAGTGCACGTTTTGGAGCATTGTTCTTTGGTTCTCTGTCATTCAGCAGCTTCACCCAAGCATCTATTATTGAGTTATCCACCATGTCGTCTTGCAGGGTCTGGAACTCCTCATGGTAGACAAACACTCCTTCACCATCTTGATAAAGCAACTCACTAAGACAAAAACACGGATTATTATACATCAGATTGGAATCTCATGACTACTATTTACATCTGATATAATGTAAAGAAACATTTTCTACTACTGTAGTTACATTTTATTCACATGAATAACAAAAGCATTTCTTACTTTCCAACTTCCTTTGAGAAGCCATAGTCTATGACAATCTTCTGTTCCTTGGTCATCTCCTTGCCTAATCTTCTATTCCGCTTCAGATACGGTGATCTGAAATTCCATTGCTTCTCAGTTGTTGTTTTTACCTTCAGCCTCTTTACCAAAGGTTGATTATCTTCTTCATCTTCTTCAACTTCCTGAGCTACATGTGCAACATCCTCTGCTACATGTCCATCAGCCTGTACCGGCACTTCTTCTTCTTGATTCAAATCTTTTTCAGTCTCAGCAGCCATCTCAACATCTTTTTCAGGTTGAGACATGCTAAACTCAATGCCAAGATCGAATGATGGCATTGAGAATTTCAGAAATGCTATTTTTTCAAGTTTTTCTAGGGCTTCCATGACCCCGAGTTCATTGAAGAAATCGTCATCTTCCTCAAGAGTGCACATCTTTGCCAATCGTTCTTTCTCAAGTTCCTTTTCTTTGCCATTAGCTTGGCGAATGAAGTAATCTGCTGTTGTGAGATATATCTTTTTTAGGGTATCAGAATTTGGGATTTTTTTTGATATTGTTGATGGCAGCTTTGAGAGTTCGATGAAAGCATCACTGAATTTCTGTGCCACTGCAACAATCTTCTTCACACAGTCCTATAATAATTAAGATATATTAGAAAACATTGTATCACATTCAGTAAAATATATTATATAAACAATCATTTCAGTTTATATTTTGAACTGGTTGAGGTTATATTTTTAATTCAACAAGTTACATTTTTTAGAGTTGTAGTTTATATCGTATTGGAATTATAAGTGTATGGTGCACAATTCACACTATGTAAGGTTCCATATTGAATCATACAAGTTATACTGTTTTACACACACTGTTACATCATGTTTATTCTTCAATCACAAATAGTGTTAAATGAAACGTTACCTCCTTTGTCAGCATTCCATCATCTTCTTTTTCTTCTTCTCCTTCTTCTTCGCTATCTTCTTTTTCTTCTGCTTCTTCCATTGGCATTATTCTTGGCATCACCTTGCCCAAACCAAATCCTAACTTCCTCTCATCTTTGACTCTTTTATCAATTTTCTCCTTGTCCCAGATTCTTAGAGTTGGGTAAACTGTATCCAAGACTTGTCCTTTGAATTGTACTCTGTCAAAGTAACAAATCATAAGGAATAGCAATGGTCCAAAAAACATCATTGATGGATGAGCCTTCCATTCTTCACCAGCATCCATCAGTGACCTTCTAGTGTACTTGCACCAGTTCAAATTCTTAATATTTTCAACATTGACTAAAGATAACAATATTTTGAAATTGCTCCTGATACTCTAGTTGCCTCTGATGAGGCATGACACTGTAAAGACAATAAAATTTCTGATGAAGCGATCTCCAGAGTCTTCATCCTCAAGCATTTTCTGAATCATCTTTTGTTGTTTCAGGGCTTCCTTTAACAATTCCTCATTCTGCTCTCCACTGCTTCAGCAATTCATTGTATTCTTCACTTTCATTTTTGCCATTGGCTTCTTGAACATTAATAGTTCCCATTGGCAACCCAAATACTGCTAGCCTCTGACATCTTGATCTTCTATATCTAACAACTCACCGTTCGTGAGTTGTAGTTGTCCTGAAATTGGTCTGAAATTTTCAAGGAGAAACTGAACAAAAGTCGCCATAGAATCTATAAAAATTTAGATGGAGTAAGCCTCCAAAGCCAATCCTCTGCAATGTTGCTTTTTTATTATCATATAGCTGTTTAATCAACTTTAGGAAAGGAGTTGCTCCTACTCTTGTTCTTAGGTTGATAAAACTGGACCTGTTGCTTCTCTCTTCCTCTTCATTTTCATCACTTGATTCTTCAGGTACTTCCCTTTTCTTTTTTGGAGGTATTTTTCTTTTTTTGCTTGTTTCTGGCTTGCTTGTTTCTGACTTATGATACTCCAGGAATAGGATTGATTCTTCTCTCTGTCATGTTCGAATAACTTCATCTTGGTTTTCTGTTTGAGGATTCTCATTTTGAGCAGTGTAGTACTCCTTGTATTCCTAGTGTCATGCAAAATAACATTAGGAATGATAGTTGAGTGACACGTTATTCTATGCAGTTTACATAGTTGTTAAGAAAAGTTTACATCACACAAATACATTTGAACATTCTAACATTGTGGATGTTTTATGATAAAAAGTTTACATAAATTCTAACACGAGTTGCATATTATTATATGAATGTTACATAACTACTAACTGAAGTTACATTACTCGCAAGTAGTTAACCAATGTACACTGGACTTGGTTGCAGTCATACTAATGCACACGACTTACACACTATTATACACACATTACATAACTATACATGGAAGTTACATTACTCACAAGAAGTTAATCAATTTACACTGGACTTGGTTGTGGTCATACTAATGCACACGACTTACACACTATTATACACAAGTTACATAACTATACATTGAAGTTACATTACTCACAAGAAGTTAATCAATTTACACTGGACTTGGTTGGAGTCATACTAATGCACATGACTTACACACTATTTATACACACGTTACATAACTATACATTGAAGTTACATTACTCATAAGAAGTTAATCAATTTACACTGGATTTGGTTGCAGTCATACTAATGCACACGACTTACACACTATTATACACACATTACATAACTATACATTGAAGTTACATTACTCACAAGAAGTTAATCAATTTACACTGGACTTGGTTGCAGTCATACTAATGCACACGACTTACACACTATTATACACAAGTTACATAACTCTAGATTGAAGATACATTACTCACAAGAAGTTAATAAGTTTACACTGGACTTGGTTGGAGTCATACTAATGCACACGACATACACACTATTATACACAAGTTACATAGCTATACATTGAAGTTACATTACTCAAAAGTAATATATTTTCAACACTATTTTTCCAAATATATTACTCCTGATAACATACATTTCAGATATTGATAACAACTGATAACATACATTTTACACACTAAGGCCACATGAAGTTACAAATGATAACATAGATTTACATATTTCGTATTGTGTAATACATATAGGAATACATTATAATATTCTCATATTCCACAGAACGTTTATAATATTCTCAGATTCCGCAGATGCACAATATGAAACTAAGATTACATTATTCATACATTCTAAGTTACATGTATTTTGATATTTACAGAACAATAACATATTTAACACCAAAATAAACATATTTTGATAATCAATCGCACTGTTTAATCATCTATCTGGTGTTATAGTTGATACCTGTCAACTGATTTCCTGTTAACCCTAGTCATCTCGAATCAGGCTTTTATTTTCAAAATTTTGCTTTGGATGGTGTTACTGCCTTACTTAGTTTCTGGTTTTTGTTCGCAGAGATATGGAACTCGGCAAGTGCTGGTTCGCAGAGATGGCTAGTGAATTTTTTGCAGAAGAGTTGTGAGAACGTTTTTAGAGAAGAAAGATGTCTTGGGTTTTTTGGAATTCGTATAGACGAACTTCGTGCAGCCGAAAATAAAGCCTGGAGGGAAAAGTTGGGAGAGAGGGAGAGAGAGAAGGAGTTACCATTGGTTCGCGTGGGTCTGTGTTTTTTTAATGTGATACTACATCGTTTCGCCGTGGGAGTAGGATGCCCAGGGTGGGCCGATACCACGGTATAGGAACTGAGCAAAAATGTCACAAGTGATATACTACTTCCGGAGTAGTACACAATACCAATAAAAACTTCCTAATAAAAAAATATGCAACAAGTTATAAATGAATACGGTAATTAATAAAATTAGGTAAAAGAGATTCCCCACTCATGTTGTTTTAAATTGGGCTGAACTTTTCTGATATAGTTTGTTCTAGTCTGATACGGATTTATTTAAATCTTGTATAATGTATTCTGGTCCGATCTTGGACCGAGAACATTCCAAATAAAAGAACATCCTTATTTGATTTTTGTTTGTGGTTTTAAAATGTAACGCCCATCCGTTCCACAAAAAAAGTCCAATTGTGGGCTTGTGGCGTAAAAGGTTGATAAACAAAAGAAAAACTAAAGTCGTAATACTCGAACTTAAATATTCATGTACGTACCTTGAATTCCTAATTAACCGAGAAAAAAAGCATTCCCAATCTTGACTCTCATACAACACCTAAATACCTAATGCATTTAAAGAAAGTAACGAGAAATGGTGGTTGTAGCACGCAAAGTTTGATTGCATTTACTTTAATGATAGCAACTAAGACCTGTTAATATTAATGTCGCCATGTATTTATCAAGATATTATACCAAGTTAATTGAATACTTATTATTATTATATCATAATAATAGTAATATGGCTCTGTTACGTCAGCATCATACTGTGTTATTAGTGTCTACCAAGTGTTTGCCCCCTGAAATTAATTAAAACAACAGCTAATATCGGGCAAAAGTTTTGGTCCTACGAGTTTTATGTCAATTCCACATTTATTCCACGTTCTTCACTTTTTTCACTTTTGGTACTTGACTAATGACTTTTTAACCATTTGTGGTCTTTTTCTGGCGATTTTAACCAGCAAAAACATTACCGGAAGGACCATATATGAACGAAAACACAATAATCATGTATCAAAAGTGGATAAAGTAAAAGACGTGAACTAAATGTGAAATTGACCTAAAACTCGTAGGACCAAAAGTGAAATTTATTCGAATCTACTAATGTGATTGACTAACTTCTATCTAGCCTAGTACGGTGTATCAAAAGAAATTCTTGTGGCATTGTCTAGAGATCGAAGTTGGTACAATGACGATTTATACCAAGGGGCAAATACCGAGAGATTTTTCTATATATGAGTATAATAATATAATTAAAGAAAATCTCAAATAGAAATATCATTTTTTTCTTTTCAAAATAGAATTTAGCTTGTAAAAACAACTTAGTAATATAAAAGAAGTTGAATTGTATAGTATACTAATACTAATAGAAAATAATTCTATTATTATACAACTTAACGTGCGAAATAAAATAGCTGTGTTTTGTTAAAATTTGGAGTTACTAAATGAGTTCTACATGTTTCATAAAAAACCTCGTTGATAAGGTTGATAAGATGAAAAAGATATTACCAACTATGCTACTGAACAAGGACGGCCCTGTATTATACTATCTTATCAACCTTAGTATTTTATCAATTTTTTTTGACGCGGTAGTATTTTCGTAATTACAACGGAGGGTTTTATAAGTTATGATTTATTGGTTATACGTTCGTATATTCAGTCTATAAGTTTGCTGCGTTGTAAGATTAGATGCAAATCCACGGGCTGAGATTACTTCTCACTTCTCTCTCTCAGTATATATATAACGCATCTAATCTTACAATGCAACAAACTTATAGACTGAATATACGAACTTATAACCAATAAATCATAACCTATAAAGCTCTCCATCATAATTACGGAAATGCCACTGCGTCAAAAAAATTTGAAGGTTTCTGGAGTTATTTTTTGCGATGGCATTTTCGTAATTATTTTCGAGGGGGTCTATAAGTTATGATTTATTAGTTAAAAGTTCGTGTTTTTAGTTTATAAGTTAAACTTCACAGTTCTCAACCTAAGGACACTTCTCACCTGATCCGCTCCCTATATATATGCATAAGAATTACAAATCACATTCTGCGTATTGTCCCATGAAAGGCTACACCTTAGACACGAAGTATTCGATAGGTCGACCACAACAGCATATCACATGAAAGGCACCAATTATTAAGCTATGTTATGTACAAAAGAAAATCCAACATATGAAGTGTTAAAGTTATTTTTTCCAAGTCAACTTTTAAAATGAAACCTCAAACTTTATATCAGAACAAATTAAACTGGAATTAAATTAGATCTCATAAATCTGGATAATGAACACACGGACTATGGGACGTATTAAGCAATCATACACTCGCCTGCGTATAAAAATACAAAACAACATATATATAACTTTAAGTTACTCCTCAAACATTTTTTAGGAAGAAACCCCAAAACTTAATATGGACAAATAAATCATTCGAGATTCTATCACTATCAAAGTTCATAGTCTTATTATTTAATTTAATACGTACATTATTATAACTTTAAATAGATTACAATACTGGTAGAAAAGATTGGTAATCGGCTAAGCCAAATGGTTAGTACGTTAACCCCCCGATCAACATCAATAATTTTTTTTTTGATCATAACATCAATAAAATATTAAAACAACACAAATATACATATGATTATCAAATGAAAATAAATTCTAACTATTGTACTGTGAATCATTGAATGGTAATACTTTAACGGGCTTTATACGAAGGCCACGAGCAGATTTGTGAGTATAGCAAAGCTGAGCCCGGCCCAATTCGTGAAGTGGGTCAAATTTCTTTTGGATAAAAAGTCAACCCTCACTTCTTAGAGCCGTTGACCATTTGGTCATGGAAGAAATCAAGCAAGACGGAGCTTTTGCACTTGGGGCATTTTGGATGTCCGGGCGCCAGCATGACGTACATGAGGCATCTAGGGCAGCCGACAAGCTTCATCGAACCGCCCTCCACGGCGGCGGAGCTATTTCCGTCGTCTTCCCCCGCCGGACACGGGTCCCATGACACGCACGACCTCGGTGATGACAGCTTCATGGACAAAGAAGACTGAGGACTGGTGGCGGCTTGCGGCGGCGATAAGTTGAGGGCCAATTCCAGCTCTGCACCCTCTTTGTTGAAGTTCATCTCTACTTTCTTCCTATTCTTTTCTTGCATTTTAATTTCCCTTTTGAGCGGGTTGAAGTTTATTTATCCCACGATTTCAAGAGGTCTATATTTATTTATGGACAAAGCAATGCAAATGGAAAGAAATACAGGTTTAGGTCAACAATCAAAATAAAAACTAATGCGACCGGCCACAATATGATAAGAAGAAAAGTCACATCAAAGTATTAATTATCAGACGTAGTCTATATAGTTCCTCTTTCGAAATGAGTTGTTTGCATGCGCGGTTATGTTTATATTAATTCTTTGCTTAATTTCCAATTTAGGTAGTTGTTATATGCAACTATGCAAGATATTGGTGGGTACATGCAATTAAGTCTTCCAATAACTTCAAAAGTGAACTTTCCTAAAAGGAAAAAATGAACATGAATAATCCTAATTTTAGCCCCGTTTGTTTTTTCAGCGGTTTGATGCTACCCGCTACATTTTGCAGCAGTTTCATAGTTCAATTTTTCAGCGGTTTGGTGCTACCCACTATTATCCAAACGGGCACTTAGTGTTTTTATTGAAATAGTCCAAAGTATTAGTTTCTTCAAAATATTCCCAATTATTAATTAGGAGTCGGTAGAGCATTTTGAGAATGTTTTCATTAGATAGGTTGGGATTATTTTGAAATGATTAATACTTTGAATTATTTTAAGAAGATCACTCATAGTTGGAATTATTCATCCATTTTTTGTTTCAAAAATAGTTGTTGGATAATTGATACCCATATTGTATGAACAGGAGAAATTGAACAAGAATGAAGAAGAAATAATGAAAGTGTATAGAATGAATGAATATTTGTTATGGTTTACAAGCCTCCTATAAGGAGTATATATAGGGAAAATCCGGGTCTGGGCCTCTAGTATGGGCCTGACAGACCCGGTTACATAAATGGACTGATAGTACAAAAAGCTAATCTAGAACATCTGAATAATAATAATAATAACAATAATGTACAATAATATGAATGATATCCGCTAAATGTGTGTGGGCCGCTGTCCAGGCCCAGTAGTCGGCAGACCGGGGGGTCGGAGTCCATATATTCCATCAGGAGTCCCCCACTCTCTGAGTCGAGAGTACTCGAGGCGAAAGGGAGTAGTCCAAACTGTATCTGCAACGTTCTTCTGTCTTTGATTTCTTCCTCTTCGGGCGGGGACCACCACCAATGTCCATGATGGGGAGGTGCCTCGTTAAAAACCTTTATTAGGAAAAAACCCAGTGGGAAAAAATCCTAATAAAGGGAAAAAGAGTACACCTAGCGCCCCTCAACTTGAACAAGGAGGGTAAGTTCCCTCCGGCATAATCAATTTTGTCTAGCTCAGCTCCTCTTCATCCGACTTAGCTCTCGTTCCTGCTCATGCGTGATCTTTGCTGCTCATCCAGAAAATCTGATCTCTCGGTCCCCCAGTACCCCAGTCCTTGAGGCGAGTGGAGGCGAGGTGAAAAATGAGTAAAGTCATCTTCGTACCTACACATTTAGCATGCATATAAATTTTTTTCTTGGGGTTTATGTTTCCGATCGGGAGTTCGTCACTTGAAAAAAGTGGAAATGTGAACTGTTGATGTAATGATAAAATACTTAGTAGAGTGGAGGTGTGAGCCATTCGTACGCAACGGTCGCCATTCTTGGAATGACTAAGACCGGTCTTCGTGCCTGAGAGTCAGGGCTTTGTGCCTGAGGAGTCAGGGCTTTGTGCCTGAGGAGTCAGGGCTTTGAATCCTAGTGATGGGTCTCAAGCCACACTCTACTTGGCATTTGATCATAATTGCGTGATATTTTGACATTTAACCGACAACAAAAATATTGAATAAAATAAATATAAATAATATTAAAATTAAAGAAACTTATCTTTTTGAAGTGGGCTGAAATAATTGGTGGGCTGCTTGGGCTGATGAAAGGAATTGGGCATCACTCTTGAGTGGGCAACACCAAAAATGGATTGACTTAGTTGATGGGATCCAACTTTCACGGAAGGGAGGAGTACGTAGCTTGTCTGCAGGTAAGACTCCAAGTAGACCCGGCAGCAGAGAAAAATTAACTAGGAGCAAGCTCACTTCTGGTGGCGCCAGAGAAGGGTGGAGATTGATGGCCTTCGCAGGCGGATCCGGCGGCTGAGCGAAAAACGGCCGGGAGCGGCTTGCTAGAGCTCCGGTAGCTACGACGAAGCCTCCTCAGCCCCGGAGACGACTGATACGCCCTTTGAGTTGGGCCGACAGGGGAGTTCAGATCTGTTACTCATGGAGCTTTTAGTCTCCATTAATGGCGGATATTGAGGTCCCCAAAGCTCGAGCGACCGGGTCTGATGACTATGGGGTGGCCCAGGTCCGATCCTCTAGCTGCGAAGGCGACCAGCATGATATCGGAGGTGGTCTGTATGGCATCGACCTCCACACGCTGCGGACAAGTAGGTGGGCGCAGATCTGGACGGAAAGCCGCAAACTTGGAGCGTCGGCGGTGCCGGATTCGGAACGACGGCGGTGCTGGGTTCGAAACAATGGCGATGAGGCCTGGTACGACGTACCAAACTTCAGCAGGTACACTGACAGACGGCAGATGGGGTGCAGTGGCAGCGCGGAGGGTGGATAGTGACGGCGGCTTCAACTTAGATCTGGTGGAGCAGCGGCGTCCGGCGATATCCTCGGCGGCGACATCTGCCCTGGATCTGGATTTTCCAGATTGATTTTTTGACTGATTTCTTGTATATTTTTGTGAATTTTTGGTCGTTTTGGGAGGTTTTCTCACTTGATTGTGTTCAAACCTCTCAACGAGAGCACCATTGTTGGATAATTGATACCCATATTGTATGAACAGGAGAAATTGAACAAGAATGAAGAAGAAATAATGAAAGTGTATAGAATGAATGAATATTTGTTATGGTTTACAAGCCTCCTATAAGGAGTATATATAGGGAAAATCCGGGTCTGGGCCTCTAGTATGGGCCTGACAGACCCGGTTACATAAATGGACTGATAGTACAAAAAGCTAATCTAGAACATCTGAATAATAATAATAATAACAATAATGTACAATAATATGAATGATATCCGCTAAATGTGTGTGGGCCGCTGTCCAGGCCCAGTAGTCGGCAGACCGGGGGGTCGGAGTCCATATATTCCATCAATAGTTTTTGAAAGATGAACTCACTTGAGAGGCTTATTACCAAATAATTATTAAAAATAGAGAATTCTCTAAATGGAACTAAAATAAGGATAAAATTCATAAATAAGACTTATACTATGTATTATTTTATTATCAAAATATGACTTATTTACTCCTATTTTTTGAAATTTTAACCAACATATTCTTTTAGTATGTTAAAATAATTAATATTTAAATTTATGGTACGATGAAGGCAGCGGGGATGACGATGGAAAATTGTATAATAAAACGGGAAAAAAGTGCAAATGTACCACTAGAAATATGTGGAGTTGCACATATACACCTGAACTTCTAATAGGTGTAAAAATACTCCTCATGGTCCTATAAAAAGACATATTTTTACCTTATAATTGACTTTAAACAAATAAAATAAATTTTAAAAAAATACTAAAAGTAAATTATAAATTTAGAATTCAAAATTGAAAAATAACAAATAACAAAATTTACTTGTGTCCTATTCCCCCTTTTATTATATTTATACCACAATTCCTTTTATTATATTTATACCACAATTTCATATTGTTAGTATAAAAATTTGTTTCAAAACTTTAATATTTTGTTTATGATTCTCTTAGTCAACTCATTCCGCCAGACACCTCTGGCGCCAAGTTGTCCCCTAGGGGTCCGTCACCGGCGCTCCGATTGATTCCTTAGCTTATCCATGCATTCCGGACCTCCTCTGCGGTGGATTGACTCGACAACGACCTCGTGGCCCTCACCAACCACATATTCAAGCGACGAGCCAACAGAGTAGGATCTCTGGCTGTCTCCGACGGCGGAAGCTGAGTCTCCGCGTCGCCGCCGACTAATACTTCTAATCTCAACCCGGAATCTGCCGCTGCTAGCATTCTCAAGCTCGTTCGCGGCGGAGAGAATTTTCTTGAGCACGCCGGCCTTAGTTGGGTACACCATCGAGCGGCAGAGCAGACGGGTCTAATTCGCCGAGAGCCAAACGTAGAAAAATGAATAAAAGGAAAGGGAAAATTAAAAAAAAAGGAAAAAGAATAGAAAAACGTCAAATATGTAGGATGTTTTTAACCTGCTAAGCCAGTTGCTTTCCGGTAAACTTGACTAAATTGATTGTTTGCATGGAGTATATGTGTAATGTGTTTGAGTGATGCTTTTATTAGGTCACAAATAAGAAAAATAAAAATTGCAATTAACTCCACTTCAGCCACCACTACACTAGATCTCAAATCATATCCCAACTTCAATCTATCTATTACATATTATTTGCAAATTTTTTCAATAATCCAATTAAAAAATTTGTTGATTGAAATAAAAATCAAACCAGAACTGACCATCATTATCTAAATTATCCCACAAACCAGACATCCCAAAGGCATCCTCAGATGTAGGCCACAGTAACGGAGACATCAGGCATTTCTCCACCGTCGACAACGGCGGTGATGGAACACTTGACATCAATGACGGATTGGACCCCACCGACCCCGCCAGTGAGTTTACTTCACCGAACAAGCTAGACCCCACTTGTGCCGCCGGTTCATTCATAGGATTAGGGTTGGGATAAGAAGCTAGACTGTCTACAGCTGCTGATGCGGTTGTTGCACCATGTGAAGATAGGGTTGTACCATTTGGGGTGGGGACTGAAAACCGCACGGGATGTAACCCGACAGAGGAAAGAACCCGAACTCAGGCGGTTTGAGGAGAATCAGACGGAGGGTTTGGCTGGAGGAGGCGGGGGAGTTCTTGATGGATTACCAGAAACTAGAGGTTGTTCTTTATTATTGGAACCTGAAGCCTAGTTGTTTTGCATCGTTTCAACTAAGTTTGATATTATCTGCTCTAAATTCTCAATCTTTTGTTTAGATTTTGGAATTGACCTTGAGCTTCACTAAATTTCTTGTTTATGGCTTCATCCATGTCTTTTACCCTAGGTGCCATTGATCAGA